CATATATCGTATTTGATATATAGACTGACCATCTATCCTATCTCCTAAGGATATGATAGATATAGATAGATAGTGGGTTATCCTAACAAATAGGATAGTCAGGAAATCAAATTCAAATTACATGGGTAATTTGAATGGGCCATGGGTCATGCCACATAGGCGCCCAAATTCGGGTCCAATACCTGGCCCAATTTTCAACATAAGTGATGTCATTTAAACCAAGGTAGTGGTGATAGTATAAAATTACTGAGCAAATCCAAGGAGATAATTGAATGTTCTTCTGCTCCATACTATTGGTTTGGAGGAATTGGAAAGTCTATTCCTCTTTGATAGAGCAAATATATATATATATATATATAACACACAGAGACAATGTACTTTGCAACTCTGTTTTTTCCACTGCAACAAGAAACTGAATGACAATCATTATTTAATCAAAGACCCAACCCACCTTGAGGCCTTTAAGCGAAAATGTTATCCTTCAAGTTGCAACACCAGCAGGAGCAAGAAAACACTTGATCTTGCACCATAGACATCCTCTAATTCATATAGGAAACCATTTGATTTGAAAGAGAAAGTTGGCAAGTGAAAAGCAGTTTCGGGAGAAGTTGTCAGGATGTGAATTTGTGGGAAGTTGATTTTAATGTTTCTAAGTGGAAAGGAGTTTGTGAGAATTTTGATTATTGCCCCATAACTTGATAGAAGGAAAATAATACACAACTTCAGTACATGATCAACACCAAAATGAGCCCCTTTATATATTAATATTGATAATATATTCATATAAGATATATTGAGGGTTCATTATGTCCACTCAAACTTGGACCAAATTTGACATGCTTTATTCTCAATGTTTCCCAATTCTTCTTACCTGGAAACTACTCTTGTATTTATCCTAACAATTACTCTAATGCTATGCAAGAAATACTCAACTTTCAAAATAAGTTACATGATCTAGATGATGCGGAACGTGATATGTGGATTTTATTTTTTTGTGAGATTAAGGTTTTGACCGTTGTATTCTTCTTTTCTCTTCTAGTTCTTCTCAAAACTTTTTGATCTTCTCTTTTAGATCAATTCTCCACATATTCTGATTTTAGGATCAATTGAATAGCCGATTTAGTACTTGATTGAAATAAAATAAAATAAATTTCAAATTATAGATACGTTTAAGAAGTATCAAATAGGTTTATGCTAGTATCCAAAAAGTATTGATACTCGATACAAATACAACTCTCATCTAGAAATATCTATATTTCATAGGTTGCAATGAATGTCAAATCTGGAGGAGAGGGACTCCGAAATCCGAATCAAATTGGGTGGAAGAAGTTCAAGTGAATGCTGGAATCTTTCCCAAACCCTAGAATGTTTGGTTTTGAAGAACATATATATATATATATATATATATATAAACAAGTAGATACTAATATACTATCTAATCAAAGTTTGATTCTTTGATTTTGCGATTAATACCCACATGCAACTTAACCCTTCAAGTACAATTTAAAGTCTTTCCCTTACATCACACAGCTAAATGACAAAACTCCAATACAGATTTTTTCAAAAATAAATAATAATAATAATTAAATAATCCAATCGAGATCAAGAAAAGCAATTCCTTTCATACAAGAACATGTCACAATTCACAAAATCAAGCTTCATCGAGATTTTCACAATTAACAAACATCAAAATAAATCCTCAAACCCTAAACTTCGTTTAGTTTCGGAATGAATTGGAAATATGAAACTTGTATAATAATTGTATATAACCGAGATAAACAAACACAAACATAGATATTGATGTAACTACATATAAGAAGGAAGATAAAGGAGAACCTAAAAGTCGAAAGTCTTGGAAGCTATCACAAATAAGCAGCAACAAGAAAATAATTTTCTAAAGAAATATCTAAATATTTTAAAAACAAACCGAACAAGATCATAATATTTTTAAATATTTTTAGCATTTATTCTAAAAGCACATATTAACTAGACTCTTGTAATAAATAAATGATAAAGAGTGATGTTAGGGATCCCAAATAATCTACTAAATTTTCTGTCAAATCTCACATGTGTGAGTTTGTGTGGGTCGAAGTTTGGTAGATTATTTGGGATTCGTAACATTTTCCAATAATAAATATAATTTTAAAATATACTAAAAAACAAAAAGGAGAATTTACCCATAAATCCTATATGGGGGAGCGTTGATCCATTTAGTCCTAAGAGTTTTCTTATGGACGGATTGGTCCTAGTTTTTTTTGAAAAGGCGTATCTCTTGACTAGAATACCCTTTTTAATGATTCATTTTGGGAACAAATTCCTGGGTGTGTGAGATTTGGTGGGTAAGACGTGATTGATATTATTCTGTGTGAGAGATTTGATGGAGTGTATCACGGTGGATGTGTATTTTGGCATTTCGGGGACTGAACAGGAGTCTTTTTTACTAGTGTGTTTTTCTAGAGACGGTGGTGTTGCATTTGCTCGGGTCTAGCAGAATGACACAAGGTATGTACATTTTGGTCGATTGTTCTTTATGTACAGGGGTGTAATGTGATTTTTTAGTTGGATAGGGGGGTGGGTATTGTTATTGGTTGGGGGTTATTTTTCATGTTTGCCGTGTGTTGTGTTAATGGTGGGTGTTTATGTGTAATGTGGGTTTGTTTGGTGGTTGATCAATGTGGTTTTCTACACGGGTTGGCAATTTTTTTCGCATTCGGTGGTCTCGATGTGTCTATGTTGGTTTACTGATGCACGTTAGCATGTTTGGTCATCATGGTGGTTTTGTTTCAATCTGGGTTTCATTTTTTTTTTTTTCAATCAAGAAGTTAACTGTAATGGTGTCTAATTCAAAAAAATTATACATCACCATAATGTGTAATGTATGGAATGTGTGATGGCCATGTGTTTGTTATGCACAGGTATGGATGCTGGGATTTTGTCGTGCACGTACGACAAAACCAATGCTGTTATTCGGTTGCATTATGCATCGACGTTCGAGAGAATCGTTGATGTTATTTGTGGGAAGTTTGATGGGTTGGTGCCGGGTCTGGTATACATGTTGTTCAACGTACCTGGTTACAATAAGTTCAAAGTGGATCGACGTTTGAATTCATCATTTCCTTATAACGACTGTATACTAATATGTAATACACATGTTTGTATCATGTTGACAACGAGTTGAATAACATATTCTCTGTCATGTGCATTGCAGTGTACTTAGGTTATGATTGTACAAGACTCGCTCACCAAACGTGCAAAACATTGTTCCATTCATGGACTCAATAATTGTTATCACTCTCCATAAACGCACTTCCAATGTAAACGTGTATGCCTTAATGATTCCTTGCATACGGAAACAATTAATGCAATCTCACAAGCTTATGGAAGACCCAATAATACATTTTCAAAGAAGTGTGACAAAACACATAATAACCAATATAACATTTCCCATCAAAGACCTAAACAACTATCGCAAATTTATGAATCACATACAAACAACATCTACAACAACACATCAGGCACCCATTCCGACCCATACTGGTTTAAAAATAAGAACACATTAAAACGATAAAAAACGCTAGCAAACCTTGACAGAACAATGTCCATACACCTTGACAATATAACCACTACTCCTTATTTTCATATCGTTCAACGACATAGTTGAGTACGGTGTTAATGCCGTGTTATATAAGCAGATCCAACACATCTACAGTTCCACAACACAGGACACTATACCTAGGTTGGCCAACATGTAATGCCAAACCACATAGACATTAGGATCACATAACCAGGACCACATTTTGGTTATATGGTTTAATGTGTATGTGGAATTCTCATATATCACCCATTAACATCACAATCCAATTGCAAAATGTGCCACCTGGATAATACCCCAACCTAAAAGTGACAGAGAAACACAGAATGGTTGATCCTACCAAAAAAAAAAAACACACATCAACACAAGATTGAATACCAGATGACGTTGCCAAACAATCTAAACCCAACAAAATTCAAAAATCTAACAATGGTGGACCAAATACCAAGCACATACCACAAAAAAGGCATACGACATCAGTATTAAACCCCAACGTTGCAACCCCTAACTCTACGCTAGCAAACCCTATCAATAGGCCTCCCATTCCCGACTCCTTTTCAAATAAACATCACTAACTTGGTCGTGGCGTCGTCATCTCCGCAACACCCATTAAACAATACAAATTCAACGTCTGCTGGCTCTAACACCCAATCCCTCGTTCACACAATGTAGGGTTTCTGTATCCTAATGTGCCTCAATCTCACGACTTCTGGAAGTTGCAACGAAGAACATATTGGAACCCAATGTCATATTAACTACGCAACAATTCAACATTGGGAATACAGAAACTTTCCTACCCTGATAGTGTGAGATTCGATTGCAAAGGAGGGAAAACACAAAAAATCTATAGTGAGCTTGGTGTAAATGTGTAATTTCAGCCTATTGCAAAATCCCACATTCACCCTTTGTTTTCCACACACGCGTGTTCTGCCCCCATCCCTTAAGTAATTTCACTTATAACAGGACTTTTGGGTCCATAAGAAAAACCTAGGGACTAATCAGTTCACAAAATCTAAATTTAGCATTTATTGGTACTTCACCCAAACAAAAATGACGAAATAATATAATAAGGTGAGATGATATGATTGTAAATGATCCAAATTAAAAATAAATAAATAGGATGAATCATCTTATTTTGAGCTCACATCAAAATATTGGACAATTCAATTCTTTCCAAAATAAATAATTAGAAACATAAAAATTGAATATAAAATTAAACAGAACCCTTTTACATGAGATGAATCTCACTTTTTATTAATCCTACATCAATTCAGCCATATATTTTTGTGCAGGTAGAATAATTATTGTTTACAAAGGTCAGTGACAATCTTAACTAATAAAAAAATATGTATAATTATTAGGGTTTAAATTAGTAAAATGGTAAATAATGGTTTTAGGTTATACTAACCAGAAATACCGGCGGTGCAGTAAACAAGGACGAAGATCATGCCGCCGAAGGCCCATGCGATGCCGAGGATGCCGACACCGCCACACTGGTCACGGTTCTTGATGGGGTCAATCTGGCTCTTGTAATCGATGACGGTGAGGACGGTGATGTAGAGGAAGAGAAGTGTGGCTATGAACTCTGCAATGATAGCTCTGTAGAACGACCATTTTGTCAGCTCCACCACGTCCACTAGCGGAGCTGGAGGCGGGTCGTGGTAGTCCTTGGCTGAGAACTCCTGCTCTGTTACTACTGTTTCCTCAACTTCCTTTGCCATTCTAACAAAAGACCCTGTGTGTACAGAGAGAGAGAGAGAGAGTTAATGTAGGATGTGGAAAGTGAGGAAGAGAGGGGTAGGTATTTATGGAGAGAGAGAGAGAGAGATTGCGGGGAGTGAGAATTTTGGACTCTGTTTGGAATGGTTTTAAAACTATGATTCCATTTCTTTATTTGTGTTGAATGTTTGTTTATAGTTTCCAAAGATAATTCTACACTCAGCTTTAAAAGCTTTATCAAAGGGGGGAAAATTTAGATTAATTGGTCGTTCAGCCGGTTGATCAGAACAATATAAGTTTTTATTTATTTATTTATTGCAACTCTTACTTTCCAATCATAGTTAGAAAGCTCTACCAAACGCAACTTTGAATTTCAAGAGAGAATGAAGGTTGATTAGTGAATTTAATTAAGGAATTAGTTATGAAAATTTTGAAAAGAAAAATAGATTCCAGAGAGAGAATTTTGAATTTCAAGAGAATGGAAGTTGATTAATGAATTTAATTAAGGAATGAGTTGTGAAAATTTTGGGAAGAAAAATAGATTGCAGAGAGGGAATTTTGAATTTTAAGAAAATGAAAGTTGATTAATGGATTTAATTAAGGAATGAGTTATGAAAATTTTGGAAACGACTGATCTGACTAAAAAAATAGATACACCATCTCCAATCATTTATTAAATTTTTTATTTGATTTTAAATGAGTTAAAAATTTGTTTTGATATGAGTTATTCCAATCTTTCATTAAATTTCATCAAAAGTTTTTAAAAAATTACTTGTTCATCTTAAATTTTATTATTCTCTCCATCCCACTCAAAGTATAAGTCTTTCTTAAAAATTAAGGACTAAAATAATATAAATTTCTTATCTTGTTCTCTTTTTTTAGAAAAATTTATTAACAACACAAAAAAATATAATTATGACAATTGATATTTCCTAAAAAATATACTGTACTATCAAAGGATAATTTTGAAAATTAATTTTTTTAAATGTAATAATTGTATTACTAAAAAAAATTAAATTCTCCAAAATTGACTATTATTTTGGGACGGAATCAAATTTAAAAGAAAAAAGCTTATTGAAAATTTAGTGAAAGATTTGGTTCATCCTTAATTTGACAAAAAATTTGGCTGCGTTTGGAGAAGCTCTCCAAGCACATTTCCACCCATTGATTTCAGTGTAGTATTTGTTTTGAATTTTCAAATTATAATTCTACACCCACCTTTGAAAACTCTTTTCTAGGCGGGAAAATTTGGTTAACCCGGACGTCCGGCTGGTTGATCGAAACAGTGTTCGATTTTTTTTTTGTTTACACTTGTTATTTTTTTATTTTAAATCAAAAATATTTCCAGAATTTTTAAAAAAAAATTTATGAGCCTTGAATAAGATTTAGATTGCTTGAAATTTCTCTCAAATTGTTTGATTATTGTCTTTTGTAGTGATTGTTGTTGTTGTTTTCTAAATTTGTTACATCTATACTATCTATATAATAGAAAGTAGTGTTTTTTCAAAAGCTTTTAAAATATCATTCTAAAATTCTTATAAATTTGAAAAATACGTGGCAACTCTCCTTTGAGTTTATAGCTCTTTTCCTTCGCTCTTAAAGACTTTCATAACAATAACAACTCTTACTCTTCCACCTTTCTCTCCTACCTTACGTTTCTTCCCTACCCTCAAAGACTTTCACTCCCACTCTTCCACTATCCACAACTCCTATCCATAAAAAGCTGTCAACAAAAAAATTAAATTTGAAAAATACGTGGCAACTCTCCTTTGAGTTTATAGCTCTTTTCCTTCGCTCTCAAAGACTTTCATAACAATAAAAACTCCTACTCTTCCACATTTCTCTCTTACCCTACGTTTCTTCCCTACCCTAAAAGACTTTCACTCCCACTCTTCCACTATCCACAACTCCTATCCATAAAAAACTGTCAACAAAAAAAATCAAAACCTATCCATAAAAGGCTGTTACTCTCCTACCTCAAACAAATCTCTTCTACCCTCAAACACTTTCAGTCCCACTCTCCCACTATCCTACAACAGATAGATATAAAAAAAAAAAAAACCACCCATCTATCCATATCCCCTTAAACCATTATTTCTAACAATCCACTACTACAAATACATAAAATTCTCATAAATACGTTTCTTCCCTACCCTCAAAGACTTTCACTCTCACTCTTCCACTATCCACAACTCCTATCCATAAAAAGTTGTCAACAAAAAAAATCAAAACCTATCCATGAAAAGCTGTTACTCTCCCACCTCAAACAAACCTCTTCTACCCTCAAACACCTTCAGTCCCACTCTCCCACTATCCTACAACAGATAGATATAAAAATAAAAATAAAAACCACCCATCTATCCATATCCCCTTAAACCATTATTTCTAACAATCCACTACTACAAATACATGTACTTCATCATTCCTTCATCAACAGTGAACGCCAGCAGTCAGCCATTGAATGCAAGTCTCGGTTTTTCTTTTTCTTTTTCTTTTTCTTTTGCTTTAATAATTTATTTTTTGTTCCAAGCATTTGAGATTTTGTATTTTGACTACAAAGATTGCAGAAAATTGTAATGTCCATGTCTCTGTTCTTCTTTTTCTTTTGCTCTAATAATTTGTACCATATTGTGTCCTTGAGGATATTCCTGGAGTGTTTGTTCCACCAATTTTGAATTTTTATTGAAGACTCAATAGGATATATATAACCCAATCTTCTCTCTGGTTCTATATCTCTCTCCCTCATCTCCATTGAAGAATCCTATAAACACAAATCTCTCTCCTCTGCCCCACTCCATAGAGCTTAATTAAGTGCACATGGCTATTGTTTATGAGGGCAACAAACATGTTTATGTTTCTCTTTTTCTTATGCTCTGAAAATTGTAATGCCCATGTCTTTGTTTTTCTTTTTCTTTTGCTCTAATAATTTTTTTTTTTCCAACTATTTGTGATTTTGTATTTTCATTATAAAGATTGCAGAAAAAGCGAGTGTAATTTACCCATAACTTTACGTGCAGACATAAGCAGATCAGTCTAAGAAATCCAGTTGCACTTACGGTTCAAAAATTACAAGCTTAGAATAACATGTACATGGGCTGCTGAAGTTGCAGATTTTGAAACCACAAATCTTTCAAGTTTTAAGAGAATTTCAACTCAAACAACTTTCAAGCCCAATTCTACAGATTCATTATGTTTCTTCTCATTAATTGTGTACTTTTATTATTGAATTACCTTGAATACACTTGCACAAAGACACATTTTTGTATTTATTGAGAAAAGTATGGGTTTGATTTGCTTTAGGAATTTAAATAGTGTTCATATACATTCGATTTTTGGCAGATTGTAATTTAAATTGTGTTCATATAAATTCTTTTGGTTGCAGTATTGTTATGTTTTTTTATTTTTATTTTTGACATGTCTTACTTTAAGATATGGTAGGAAATGGTTTATAACGGTACCACTGTGGATGGTATTATGAGTGTTCTAATCAAAATTTAATCTTTCATGTTTTATTTTGTTTTACAAAATCCAAAATTTATATGAACATACTTGGTTTAAAAATCGGAAATATTATGTTTTGAAATGAAAATTTTACCATATTAGACATGATTTCAATTCTTTTGTTTTTCTTTATAGTTTTTAATTTAAGATTAAAATTTAATTATTTTCATTACTTCTTTAATTTCTTAGATTGCAAGAATCTATTAAATTTAATACTATATTTTGTTTATGATTTTAGTGGATAAATAATTCAATAAAAAATAAAGTTTAAGATGGTTAAAAGTATATTTTGATAGGTATTTGTAGTGTTCTACCAATAAGATAATGCAGGTTTACCATTATATTGACAATACGTGTTAATTTTATTTTTATTTTATGTTATGAAAATAAAATCAATAATTTTACACATAAAACAACCAAATTTATTTTGGGTGGAGTAAGGGGAAATTAATTAATTTTATGAATATTATAAAATCATAACAGGTATTAAGTTATTTGTGCATTAAACTCATATTTTTTTTTATTTTTTTTTATAATTTTACACAACTTTTAAATTTACAATTAATACTCTATTTGGTTTGGAGTTTTCAAAAACAGTTTTTTGAGTTTTCAATTCGTATTTTTATATTTTTAGTGATTTTTAAAATATTTTTATTTTTATTTTTTAGATCCACTTAATCTTGATATACTTAAAAGATATAAAATTTGTACAAAAATCTTTAAAAGATTTATTGAATACAACAAAATAGGAAAATGTATTGAATTTTCTTATTTTTGATTTTTTTTTTTGTATTTGGTGAATTTTAAAAAAAATTATATAAGTATTATACTTTTTAAGTATATCTAGATTAGGTATATCTAGAAAATTTTAAAAAACTACTTAAAATGTTAAAAAAATTACTAAAAAATAAAAACTTAATTTTTTAAAAAGTGAGTTAAATCAAAAGTTTTATATAAACTTCAAACCCCTTTCCAAGTATTTATTTTTGTGAAATTTCATTTATGAAATTGTTTGAAATTTGCTTGAAATTAGTTGAGATTCCTTTTGCTTTGTTTGAGATTGCTTGAAATTTCTCTGAAATTGTTTGATTATTGTCATTGTAGTGATTATTGTTGTTGTTTTCTAAATTTGTTATATATATATATGTTATGTTTGGAGGGGGGGTTTTGCCTCTATCTCCATCTCCAAAAATCTAGAAAATAGTATTTTTTATTATTATTGTATTGCTGCTGGATTTTTCCCAATGTGTTTGTTTGTTCCATAGAAATTTTGGAGCCAAATTCTATTTGCTTGGATGATGATTGCCAAACGTGTTGCCAAATTTGACAGAGAAAATGGCAATTGTCAAATTTAACAAGGGTTATAGCAGTCCACTGGAGTAAGATTTTTGGAGACTATTGCTAAATTTTGGCAATGGCAGTTCCAATAGCTTGCCATTGGAGATGCTCTAATGTGTGAGAAAAAATAAAACAAATTGTTTTAATATCTAACAACCTTCTTCTCTATGATTAATTAGAACATTCACATCAGTTTCAACAAATTTTGAGCCAAATTCTAATTTAAAAAAACTAATTTCTTATTTTAATTAATTATTGTTTTAACTGTATCATTCATTAGACTCTCTATTCTAATTCTATTTTATCA